GGGTAGATGGACGGCATCCCTCGCTCGCCATTCACCTGCCTGCAGGCACTTATGAAAAGATGACGGGAATTGGAGATGTGGGGAGTCAACTGGCCCTGAGATATCTGAGCGGGAATAGCTCCCGGGAGTTTGCCATGGATATGCTGAACAGTCAGGTCCTAAGTAACTTCTTGAGATTGTAACTGCATCTTAACACGGTAGTGTTGTTGTCCTTTTCAGTTCCTTTTCTTATTCCTCAAACTGTGCAAATGGGGAATAGAAGCATGAAGAAACTCATGTCCTTTAATAAGAAGATAAATAAAACAACAGTTTTGTTCAATTTATAAAAAGCCCTTTGTATACAATACACTGGCATCAGAACCAAAATACTGCAATTACTTTACCTTGCCATCATTATAAAGGTTTGGATTGAACCGTACACTATGACCCCCAGTTGTCTCTAGATTCACGAGCGGGGGTGAACTGGGATAATCTTGAGGAAAATATACATCAAACTCAAAGCAGCCATTCGCGTAAGGGGTGTCCGCAGGACCAGTTATCAGAACCTAGTATGCATACACAAACACACAAAAGTCAGTGTTATTATTCCTAAACACTACCATTTAGGAAAGTGCAATCTGACATCAAATAAGAACAACCTTATAGCTGCATTATATACAACTCTACCAGACAACACAGAAGAGGAAATTGAAAGTTAAAAATAATACTGAGGTAGGAAAATCATTTGAAGTTAGGAGTTCAAGACCAGCCTGAGCAAGAGCAAGACCTTGTCTCTATAAAAAAATAGAAACCTTAGCTGGGCACGGTGGGGCACACCTGTAGTCTCAGCTACCCTTAAGGGCTGAGATAGGGGGACTATTTGGGCCCAACCAGGAGTCTGAGGTTGCAACAAGCTATGATCCACTGCATTCTAGCCCGGGCAACAGGAAAATATATCTCGAGGAAAATACATTCTGTCTCAAAAAAAGGAGAGTTAAAAATAATACAGAATTAGGAAATGGTCTTGAATTAGAATTAAATGGGTTTGGTTTTGGTGAAAGTGGGGTATTAAAAGACAGGTTTTTATTGACAGCAGGAAATTTACCTTAAATCAAATACTTTTTAAAATAGTTAAGTTTATAGGTTCAACTCTTTGCGAGGCTAAGGCAAAATATATTAAAAAAAATAGTAGGTTACTTTTTTCTGAGAGTTTTTCCTCATGACTTTCTCTATAGTATTTTTAACAGTTTGAGATCCTACATACTTTCATTATTATACATCGAAGGTATGAGGGTGTTCATCTGCTTTAAATCTTCACAAAGTGACTAAGTTAATAAATAACTTACTGTTTTAAATTCATTGTTAGGGTAATTACAAAAAGACAACATAGAAAAAAAATGTTCTCAAATAATGTCTTATAAAGGAAAGATTCTAAGAGGGCCAGCACAGTGGCTCACACCTGTAATCACTCTGGGATGCCAAAGTGGGTGTGTCACCTGAGCTCAGGAGCTTGAGTTCAGCCTGAGCAA